TGGGTGCATGCACTGATAGAGTGGGTGGCATGCACTGATAGAGTGGGTAGCATGCACGGATAGAGTGGGTGCATGCACTGATAGAGTGTGCATGCACTGATAGAGTGGGTGCATGCACTGATAGAGTGGGTGCATGCACTGATAGAGTGGGTGGCATGCACTGATAGAGTGGGTGCATGCACTGTGAGAGTGGGTGCATGCATGATAGTGGGTGCATGCAGTGATAGAGTGGGTGCATGCAGTGATAGAGTGGGTGCATGCACTTGATAGAGTGGGTGCATGCACTGATAGAGTGGGGTGCATGCACTGATAGAGTGGGTGCATGCACTGATAGAGTGGGTGCATGCACTGATAGAGTGGGTGCATGCACTGATAGAGTGGGTGCATGCACTGATAGAGTGGGTGCATGCACTGGTAGAGTGGGTGCATGCACTGATAGAGTGGGTGCATGCCAGCTGATAGAGTGGGTGCATGCACTGATAGAGTGGGTGCATGCACTGGATAGAGTGGGTGCATGCACTGATAGAGTGGGTGCATGCACTGATAGGTGGGTGCATGCACTGATAGAGTGGGTGCATGCAGTGATAGAGTGGGTGCATGCACTGATAGAGTGGGTGCATGCACTGATAGAGTGGGTGCATGCACTGATAGAGTGGGTGCATGCACTGATAGAGTGGGTGCATGCACTGATAGAGTGGGTGCATGCACTGATAGAGTGGGTGCATGCACTGATAGAGTGGGTGCATGCCCTGATAGAGTGGGTGCATGCACTGATAGAGTGGGTGCATGTCACGTGATAGAGTGGGTGCATGCACTGATAGAGTGGGTGCATGCACTGATAGAGTGGGTGCATGCACTGATAGAGTGGGTGCATGCACTGATAGAGTGGGTGCATGCAGTGATAGAGTGGGTGCATGCACTGATAGAGTGGGTGCATGCACTGATAGAGTGGGTGCATGCACGTGATAGAGTGGGTGCATGCCACTGATAGAGTGGGTGCATGCACTGATAGAGTGGGTGCATGCACTGATAGAGTGTGGGGGGGGAGGGGTGCATGCACTGATAGAGTGGGTGCATGCACTGATAGAGTGGGTGCATGCACTGATAGAGTGGGTGCATGCACTGATAGAGTGGGTGCATGCACGTGATAGAGTGGGTGCATGCACTGATAGAGTGGGTGCATGCACTGATAGAGTGGTGCATGCACTGATAGAGTGGGTGCATGCACTGATAGAGTGGGTGCATGCAGTGATAGAGTGGGTGCATGCAGTGATAGAGTGGGTGCATGCACTGATAGAGTGGGTGCATGCACTGATAGAGTGGGTGCATGCAGTGATAGAGTGGGTGCATGCACTGATAGAGTGGGTGCATGCACTGATAGAGGTGGGTGCATGCACTGATAGAGTGGGTGCATGCACTGATAGAGTGGGGTGCATGCAACTGGATAGAGTGGGTGCATGGCACGTGATAGAGTGGGTGCATGCACTGATAGAGGTGGGTGCATGCACTGATAGAGTGGGTGCATGCACTGATAGAGTGGGTGCATGCAGTGATAGAGTGGTGCATGCACCATGATAGAGTGGGTGCATGCAGTGATAGAGTGGGTGCATGCAGTGATAGAGTGGGTGCATGCACTGATAGAGTGGTGCATGCACTGATAGAGTGGGTGCATGACTGATAGAGTGGGTGCATGCACTGATAGAGTGGGTGCATGCACTGATAGAGTGGGTGCATGCAGTGATAGAGTGGGTGCATGCAGTGATAGAGTGGTGCATGCACTGAATAGAGTGGGTGGCATGCACTGATAGAGTGGGTGCAATGCACGTGATAGAGTGGGTGCATGCACTGATAGAGTGGGTAGCATGCACTGATAGAGTGGGTGCATGCCAGTTGATAGAGTGGGTGCATGCAGCTGATAGAGTGGGTGCATGACTGATAGAGTGGGTGCATGCACTGATAGAGTGGGTGCATGCACTGATAGAGTGGGTGCATGCACTGATATGAGTGGGTGCATGCAGTGATAGAGTGGGTGCATGCACTGATAGAGTGGGTGCATGCACTGATAGAGTGGGTGCATGCACTGATAGAGTGGGTGCATGCAGTGATAGAGTGGGTGCATGCAGTGATAGAGTTTTGGGTGCCATGCACTGATAGAGTGGGTGCATGCACTGATAGAGTGGGTGCCATGCACTGATAGAGTGGGTGCAATGCACTGATAGAGTGGGTGCATGCACTGATAGAGTGGGTGCATGCACTGATAGAGTGGTGCATGCAGTGATAGAGTGGTGCATGCAGTGATAGAGTGGGTGCATGCAGTGATAGAGTGGGTGCATGCAGTGATAGAGTGGGTGCATGCACTGATAGAGTGGGTGCATGCACTGATAGAGTGGGTGCAGGCACTGATAGAGTGGGTGCATGCACTGATAGAGTGGGTGCATGCACTGATAGAGTGGGTGCATGCACTGATAGAGTGGGTGCATGCACTGATAGAGTGGGTGCATGCACTGATAGAGTGGGTGCATGCACTGAGAGAGTGGGTGCATGCACTGATAGAGTGGTGCATGCACGTGATAGAGTGGGTGCATGCAGGATAGAGTGGGTGCATGCACTGATAGAGTGGGTGCATGCACTGATAGAGTGGGTGCATGCACTGATAGAGTGGGTGCATGCACTGATAGAGTGGGTGCATGCACTGATAGAGTGGGTGCATGCACTGATAGAGTGGGTGCATGCACTGATAGAGTGGGTGCATGCACTGATAGAGTGGGTGCATGCACTGATAGAGTGGGTGCATGCACTGATAGAGTGGGTGCATGCACTGATAGAGTGGTGCATGCACTGATAGAGTGGGTGCATGCACTGATAGAGTGGGTGCATGCACTGATAGAGTGGGTGCATGCACTGATAGAGTGGGGTGCATGCACGTGATAGAGTGGGTGCATGCACTGATAGAGTGGGTGCATGCACTGATAGAGTGGGTGCATGCACTGATAGAGTGGGTGCATGCACTGATAGAGTGGGTGCATGCACGTGATAGAGTGGGTGCATGCACTGATAGAGTGGGTGCATGCACTGATAGAGTGGGTGCATGCAGTGATAGAGTGGGTGCATGCAGTGATAGAGTGGGTGCATGCACTGATAGAGTGGGTGCATGCACTGATAGAGTGGGTGCATGCACTGATAGAGTGGGTGCATGCACTGATAGAGTGGGTGCATGCACTGATAGAGTGGGTGCATGCACTGATAAGTGGGTGCATGCCGTGATAGAGTGGGTGCATGCACTGATAGAGTGGGTGCATGCACTGATAGAGTGGGTGCATGCACTGATAGAGTGGGTGCATGCACTGATAGAGTGGGTGCATGCACTGATAGAGTGGGTGCATGCACTGATAGAGTGGGTGCATGCAGTGATAGAGTGGGTGCATGCACTGATAGAGTGGGTGGCATGCACTGATAGAGTGGGTGCATGCACTGATAGAGTGGGTGCATGCACGGATAGAGTGGTGATGCACTGATAGATGGGTGCATGCACTGATGAGTGGGTGCATGCAGTGATAGAGTGGGTGCATGCACTGATAGAGTGGGTGCATGCACTGATAGAGTGGGTGCATGCAGTGATAGAGTGGGTGCATGCAGTGATAGAGTGGGTGCATGCACTGATAGAGTGGGTGCATGCACTGATAGAGTGGGTGCATGCACTGATAGAGTGGGTGCATGCACTGATAGATGTGGGTGCATGCACTGATAGAGTGGGTGCATGCACTGATAGAGTGGGTGCATGCACTGATAGAGTGGGTGCATGCACTGATAGAGTGGTGCATGCAGTGATAGAGTGGTGCATGCACTGATAGAGTGGGTGCATGCAGTGATAGAGTGGTGCATGCAGTGATAGAGTGGGTGCATGCAGTGATAGAGTGGGTGCATGCACTGATAGAGTGGGTGCATGCACTGATAGAGTGGGTGCATGCACTGATAGAGTGGGTGCATGCACTGATAGAGTGGGTGCATGCACTGATAGAGTGGGTGCATGCAAGTGATAGAGTGGGTGCATGCAGCTGATAGAGTGGGTGCATTGCATGATAGAGTGGGTGCATGCACTGATAGAGTGGGTGCATGCACTGATAGAGTGGGTGCATGCACTGATAGAGTGGGTGCATGCACTGATAGAGTGGGTGCATGCACTGATAGAGTGGGTGCATGCACTGATAGAGTGGGTGCATGCACTGATAGAGTGGGTGCATGCACTGATAGAGTGGGTGCATGCACTGATAGAGTGGGTGCATGCACTGATAGAGTGGGTGCATGCAGCTGATAGAGTGGGTGCATGCACTGATAGAGTGGGTGCATGCACTGATAGAGTGGGTGCATGCACTGATAGAGTGGGGGCATGCACTGATAGAGTGGGTGCATGCAGTGATAGAGTGGGTGCATGCACTGATAGAGTGGGTGCATGCACTGATAGAGTGGGTGCATGCACTGATAGAGTGGGTGCATGCACTGATAGAGTGGGTGCATGCAGTGATAGAGTGGGTGCATGCACTGATAGAGTGGGTGCATGCACTGATAGAGTGGGTGCATGCACTGATAGAGTGGTGCATGCAGTGATAGAGTGGGTGCATGCACTGATAGTAGTGGGTGCATGCACTGATAGAGTGGGTGCATGCAGCTGATAGAGTGGGTGCATGCACTGATAGAGTGGGTGCATGCACTGATAGAGTGGGTGAATGCACTGATAGAGTGGGTGCATGCACTGATAGAGTGGGTGCATGCACTGATAGAGTGGGTGCATGCAGTGATAGAGTGGGTGCATGCACTGATAGAGTGGGTGCATGCACTGATAGAGTGGTGCATGCACTGATAGAGTGGGTGCATGCACTGATAGAGTGGGGTGCATGCACTGATAGAGTGGGTGCATGCACTGATAGAGTGGGTGCATGCACTGATCGAGTGAGGTGGCATGCACTGATAGAGTGGGTGCATGCACTGATAGAGTGGGTGCATCAGTGTAGAGTGGGTGCATGCAGTGATAGAGTGGGTGCATGCACTGATAGAGTGGGTGCATGCACTGATAGAGTGGGTGCATGCAGTGATAGAGTGGGTGCATGCAGTGATAGAGTGGGTGCATGCAGTGATAGAGTGGGTGCATGCACTGATAGAGTGGGTGCATGCACTGATAGAGTGGGTGCATGCAGTGATAGAGTGGGTGCATGCACTGATAGAGTGGGTGCATGCAGTGATAGAGTGGGTGCATGCACTGATAGAGTGGGTGCATGCACTGATAGAGTGGGTGCATGCACTGATAGAGTGGGTGCATGCACTGATAGAGTGGGTGCATGCACTGATAGAGTGGGTGCATGCACTGATAGAGTGGGTGCATGCACTGATAGAGTGGGTGCATGCAGTGATAGAGTGGGTGCATGCAGTGATAGAGTGGGTGCATGCACTGATAGAGTGGTGCTGCACTGATAGAGTGGAGTGCACAGTGATAGAGTGGGTGCATGCACTGATAGAGTGGGTGCATGCACTGATAGAGTGGGTGCATGGCTGATAGAGTCACTATAGAGTGGCATGCACTGATAAGTGGGTGCATGCACTGATAGAGTGGGTGCAATGCACTGATAGAGTGGGTGCATGCAGTGATAGAGTGGGTGCATGCAGCTGATAGAGTGGGTGCTGCACTGATAGAGTGGGTGCATGCACTGATAGAGTGGGGGTGGCATGCACTGATAGAGTGGGTGCATGCACTGATAGAGTGGGTGGCATGCACTGATAGAGTGGGTGCATGCACTGGATAGAGTGGGTGCATGCACTGATAGAGTGGGTGCATGCCTGATGAGTGGGGTGCATGCACTGATAGAGTGGGTGCATGCACTGATAGAGTGGGTGCATGCACTGATAGAGGTGGGGTGCATGCACTGATAGAGTGGGTGCATGCACTGATAGAGTGGGTGCATGCACGTGATAGAGTGGGTGCATGCAGTGATAGAGTGGGTGCATGCACTGATAGAGTGGGTGCATGCACTGATAAGAGTTGGGGTGCATGCACTGATAGAGTGGGTGCATGCACTGATAGAGTGGGGTGCATGCACTGATAGAGTGGGTGCATGCACTGATAGAGTGGGTGCATGCACTGATAGAGTGGGTGCATGCAGTGATAGAGTGGGTGCATGCACTGATAAGAGTGGGTGCATGCACTGATAGAGTGGTGCATGCACTGATAGAGTGGGGTGCATGCACTGCTAGAGTGGGTGCATGCACTGATAGAGTGGGTGCATGCACTGATAGAGTGGGTGCATGCACTGATAGAGTGGGTGCATCACTGATAGAGTGGGTGCATGCACTGATAGAGTGGGTGCATGCACTGATAGAGTGGGTGCATGCACTGATAGAGTGGGTGCATGCACTGATAGAGTGGGTGCATGCAGTGATAGAGTGGGTGCATGCACTGATAGAGTGGGTGCATGCACTGATAGAGTGGGTGCATGCACTGATAGAGTGGGTGCATGCATGATAGAGTGGGTGCATGCACTGATAGAGTGGGTGCATGCACTGATAGAGTGGGTGCATGCACTGATAGAGTGGGTGCATGCAGTGATAGAGTGGGTGCATGCACGTGATAGAGTGGGTGCATGCACTGATAGAGTGGGTGCATGCCGTGATAGAGTGGGTGCATGCAGTGATAGAGTGGGGGGCATGCACTGATAGAGTGGGTGCAAGCTGCACTGATAGAGTGGGTGCAGTGCACTGATAGAGTGGGTGCATGCACTGATAGAGTGGGTGATGCACTGATAGAGTGGTGCATGCACTGATAGAGTGGGTGCATGCACTGATAGAGTGGGTGCATGCACTGATAGAGTGGGTGCATTGCACTGATAGAGTGGGTGCATGCACTGATAGAGTGAGGTTGCATGCAGTGATAGAGTGGTGCATGCAGTGATAGAGTGGGTGCATGCACTGATAGAGTGGGTGCATGCACTGATAGAGTGGGTGCATGCACTGATAGAGTGGGTGCATGCACTGATAAAGTGGGTGCAATGCACTGATAGAGTGGGTGCATGCACTGATAGAGTGGGTGCATGCACTGATAGAGTGGGGTGCATGCACTGATAGAGTGGGTGCATGCACTGATGAGAGTGGGTGCATGCAGTGATAGAGTGGGTGCATGCAGCTGGATAGAGTGGTGCATGCACTGATAGAGTGGGTGGCATGCACTGATAGAGTGGGTGCATGCACTGATAGAGTGGGTGCATGCAGTGATAGAGTGGGTGCATGCACTGATAGGTGGGTGCATGCACTGATAGAGTGGGTGCAATGCAGTGATAAAGAGTGGGTGCATGCACTGATAGAGTGGGTGCATATGCCAGTGATAGAGTGGGTGCATGCAGTGATAGAGTGGGTGCATGCACTGATAGAGTGGGTGCATGCACTGATAGAGTGGGTGCATGCACTGATAGAGTGGGTGCATGCACTGATAGAGTGGGTGCATGCACTGATAGAGTGGGTGCATGCACTGATAGAGTGGGTGCATGCACTGATAGAGTGGGTGCATGCACTGATAGAGTGGGTGCATGCACTGATAGAGTGGGTGCATGCACTGATAGAGTGGGTGCATGCACTGATAGAGTGGGTGCATGCACTGATAGAGTGGGTGCATGCACTGATAGAGTGGGTGCATGCACTGATAGAGTGGGTGCATGCACTGATAGAGTGGGTGCATGCACTGATAGAGTGGGTGCATGCAGTGATAGAGTGGGTGCATGCACTGATAGAGTGGGTGCATGCACTGATAGAGTGGGTGCATGCACTGATAGAGTGGGTGCATGCACTGATAGAGTGGGTGCATGCACTGATAGAGTGGGTGCATGCACTGATAGAGTGGGTGCATGCACTGATAGAGTGGGTGCATGCACTGATAGTGGTGCATGCAGTGATAGAGTGGTGCATGCACTGATAGAGTGGGTGATGCACTGATAGAGTGGGTGCATGCACTGATAGAGTGGGTGCATGCACTGATAGAGTGGGTGCATGCACTGATAGAGTGGGTGCATGCAGTGATAGAGTGGGTGCATGCACTGATAGAGTGGGTGCATGCCACTGATAGAGTGGGTGCATGCACTGATAGAGTGGGTGCATGCACTGATAGAGTGGGTGCATGCACTGATAGAGTGGGTGCATGCACTGATAGAGTGGGTGCATGCACTGATAGAGTGGGTGCATGCAGTGATAGAGTGGGTGCATGCAGTGATAGAGTGGGTGCATGCACTGATAGAGTGGGTGCATGCACTGATAGAGTGGGTGCATGCACTGATAGAGTGGGTGCATGCACTGATAGAGTGGGTGCATGCACTGATAGAGTGGGTGCATGCAGTGATAGAGTGGGTGCATGCACTGATAGAGTGGGTGCATGCACTGATAGAGTGTGGTGCATGCACTGATAGAGTGGGTGCATGCACTGATAGAGTGGGTGCATGCACTGATAGAGTGGGTGCATGCACTGATAGAGTGGGTGCATGCACTGATAGAGTGGGTGCATGCAGTGATAGAGTGGGTGCATGCAGTGATAGAGTGGGTGCATGCACTGATAGAGTGGGTGCATGCACTGATAGAGTGGGTGCATGCACTGATAGAGTGGGTGCATGCACTGATAGAGTGGGTGCATGCACTGATAGAGTGGGTGCATGCACTGATAGAGTGGGTGCATGCACTGATAGAGTGGGTGCATGCAGTGATAGAGTGGGTGCATGCACTGATAGAGTGGGTGCATGCACTGATAGAGTGGGTGCATGCACTGATAGAGTGGGTGCATGCAGTGATAGAGTGGGTGCATGCACTGATAGAGTGGGTGCATGCACTGATAGAGTGGGTGCATGCACTGATAGAGTGGGTGCATGCAGTGATAGAGTGGGTGCATGCACTGATAGAGTGGGTGCATGCACTGATAGAGTGGGTGCATGCACTGATAGAGTGGGTGCATGCACTGATAGAGTGGGTGCATGCACTGATAGAGTGGGTGCATGCACTGATAGAGTGGGTGCATGCACTGATAGAGTGGGTGCATGCACTGATAGAGTGGGTGCATGCACTGATAGAGTGGGTGCATGCACTGATAGAGTGGGTGCATGCACTGATAGAGTGGGTGCATGCACTGATAGAGTGGGTGCATGCACTGATAGAGTGGGTGCATGCACTGATAGAGTGGGTGCATGCACTGATAGAGTGGGTGCATGCACTGATAGAGTGGGTGCATGCACTGATAGAGTGGGTGCATGCACTGATAGAGTGGGTGCATGCACTGATAGAGTGGGTGCATGCACTGATAGAGTGGGTGCATGCACTGATAGAGGGGATGAGTGAGGTGGCATGCACTGATAGAGTGGGTGCATGCACTGATAGAGTGGGTGCATGCACTGATAGAGTGGGTGCATGCAGTGATAGAGTGGGTGCATGCACTGATAGAGTGGGTGCATGCACTGATAGAGTGGGTGCATGCACTGATAGAGTGGGTGCATGCACTGATAGAGTGGGTGCATGCACTGATAGAGTGGGTGCATGCACTGATAGAGTGGGGTGCATGCACTGATAGAGTGGGTGCATGCAGTGATAGAGTGGGTGCATGCACTGATAGAGGTGGGTGCATGCAGTGGATAGAGTGGGTGCATGCACTGATAGAGTGGGTGCATGCACTGATAGAGTGGGTGCATGCACTGATAGAGTGGGTGCATGCAGTGATAGAGTGGGTGCATGCAATGATAGAGTGGGTGCATGCACTGATAGAGTGGGTGCATGCACTGATAGAGTGGGTGCATGCACGTGATAGAGTGGGTGCATGCACTGATAGAGTGGGTGCATGCACTGATAGAGTGGGTGCATGCACGTGATAGAGTGGGTGCATGCACGTGATAGAGTGGGTGCATGCACTGATAGAGTGGGTGGCATGCAGCTGATAGAGTGGGTGCATGCACTGATAGAGTGGGTGCATGCACTGATAGAGTGGGTGCATGCACTGATAGAGTGGGTGCATGCACTGATAGAGTGGTGCATGCACTGATAGAGTGGTGTGCATGCACTGATAGAGTGGGTGCATGCACTGATAGAGTGGGTGCATGCACTGATAGAGTGGGTGCAGGCAGTGATAGAGTGGGTGCATGCACTGATAGAGTGGGTGCATCACTGGTATGAGTGGGTGCATGCACTGATAGAGTGGGTGCATGCACTGATAGAGTGGGTGCTGCACTGATAGAGTGGGTGCATGCACTGATAGAGTGGGTGCATGCAGTGATAGAGTGGGGTGCATGCACTGATAGAGTGGGTGCATGCCACTGAGAGAGTGGGGTGCATGCACTGATAGAGTGGGTGCATGCAGTGATAGAGTGGGTGCATGCATGATAGAGTGGGTGCATGCACTGATAGAGTGGGTGCCATGCACGTGATAGAAGTGGGTGCCATGCACTGGTAGAGTGGGTGCATGCACTGATAGAGTGGGTGCATGCACTGATAGAGTGGGTGCATGCACTGATAGAGTGGGTGCATGCACTGATAGAGTGGGGTGCATGCAGTGATAGAGTGGGTGCATGCACTGATAGAGTGGGTGCATGCACTGATAGAGTGGGTGCATGCACTGATAGAGTGGGTGGCATGCACTGATAGAGGGTGCATGCACTGATAGAGTGGGTGCATGCACTGATAGAGTGGTGCATGCACTGATAGAGTGGGTGCATGCACTGATAGAGTGGGTGCATGCACTGATAGAGTGGGTGCATGCAGTGATAGAGTGGGTGCATGCATAGAGTGGGTGCATGCACTGATAGAGTGGGTGCATGCACTGATAGAGTGGGTGCATGCAGTGATAGAGTGGGTGCATGCACTGATAGAGTGGGTGCATGCACTGATAGAGTGGGTGCATGCACTGATAGAGTGGGTGCATGCACTGATAGAGTGGGTGCATGCACTGATAGAGTGGGTGCATGCAGTGATAGAGTGGGTGCATGCAGTGAATAGAGTGGGTGCATGCACTGATAGAGTGGGTGCATGCACTGATAGAGTGGGTGCATGCACTGATAGAGTGGTGCAATGCAGTGATAGAGTGGGTGCATGCAGTGATAGAGTGGGTGCATGCAGTGATAGAGTGGGTGCATGCAGTGATAGAGTGGGTGCATGCACTGATAGAGTGGGTGCATGCACTGATAGAGTGGGTGCATGCACTGATAGAGTGGGTGCATGCACTGATAGTGGGTGCATGCACTGATAGAGTGGGTGCATGCAGTGATAGAGTGGGTGCATGCACTGATAGAGTGGGTGCATGCACTGATAGAGTGGGTGCATGCAGTGATAGAGTGGGTGCATGCACGTGATAGAGTGGGTGCATGCAGCTGATAGAGTGGGTGCATGCAACTGATAGAGTGGGTGCATGCACTGATAGAGTGGGTGCATGCACTGATAGAGTGGGTGCATGCACTGATAGAGTGGGTGCATGCACTGATAGAGTGGGTGCATGCACTGATAGAGTGGGTGCATGCACTGATAGAGTGGGTGCATGCACTGATAGAGTGGGTGCATGCACTGATAGAGTGGGTGCATGCACTGATAGAGTGGGTGCATGCACTGATAGAGTGGGTGCATGCACTGATAGAGTGGGTGCATGCAGTGATAGAGTGGGTGCATGCACTGATAGAGTGGGTGCATGCACTGATAGAGTGGGTGCATGCACTGATAGAGTGGGTGCATGCACTGATAGAGTGGGTGCATGCAGTGATAGAGTGGGTGCATGCACTGATAGAGTGGGTGCATGCACTGATAGAGTGGGTGCATGCAGTGATAGAGTGGGTGCATGCACTGATAGAGTGGGTGCATGCACTGATAGAGTGGGTGCATGCACTGATAGAGTGGGTGCATGCACTGATAGAGTGGGTGCATGCACTGATAGAGTGGGTGCATGCACTGATAGAGTGGGTGCATGCACTGATAGAGTGGGTGCATGCACTGATAGAGTGGGTGCATGCACTGATAGAGTGGGGTGCATGCACTGATAGAGTGGGTGCATGCAGTGATAGAGTGGGTGCATGCACTGATAGAGTGGGTGCATGCACTGATAGAGTGGGTGCATGCACTGATAGAGTGGGTGCATGCAGTGATAGAGTGGGTGCATGCACTGATAGAGTGGGTGCATGCACTGATAGAGTGGGTGCATGCACTGATAGAGTGGGTGCATGCACTGATAGAGTGGGTGCATGCACTGATAGAGTGGGTGCATGCACTGATAGAGTGGGTGCATGCACTGATAGAGTGGGTGCATGCACTGATAGAGTGGGTGCATGCACTGATAGAGTGGGTGCATGCACTGATAGAGTGGGGTGCATGCACTGATAGAGTGGGTGCATGCACTGATAGAGTGGGTGCATGCACTGATAGAGTGGGTGCATGCATGCACTGATAGAGTGGGTGCATGCACTGATAGAGTGGGTGCATGCACTGATAGAGTGGGTGCATGCACTGATAGAGTGGGTGCATGCACTGATAGAGTGGGTGCATGCACTGATAGAGTGGGTGCATGCACTGATAGAGTGGGTGCATGCACTGATAGAGTGGTGCATGCACTGATAGAGTGGGTGCATGCACTGATAGAGTGGGTGCATGCAGTGATAGAGTGGGTGCATGCACTGATAGAGTGGGTGCATGCACTGATAGAGTGGGTGCATGCACTGATAGAGTGGGTGCATGCACTGATAGAGTGGGTGCATGCACTGATAGAGTGGGTGCATGCACTGATAGAGTGGGTGCATGCACTGATAGAGTGGGTGCATGCACTGATAGAGTGGGTGCATGCACTGTGATAGAGTGGGTGCATGCACTGATAGAGTGGGGTGCATGCACTGATAGAGTGGGTGCATGCACTGATAGAGTGGGTGCATGCACTGATAGAGTTGGTGCATGCACTGATAGAGTGGTGCATGCACTGATAGAGTGGGTGCATGCACTGATAGAGTGGGTGCATGCACTGATAGAGTGGGTGCATGCCTGATAGAGTGGTGCATGCACTGATAGAGTGGGTGCATGCACTGATAGAGTGGGTGCATGCACTGATAGAGTGGGTGCATGCACTGATAGAGTGGGTGCATGCACTGATAGAGTGGGTGCATGCACTGATAGAGTGGTGCATGCACTGATAGAGTGGGTGCATGCACTGATAGAGTGGGTGCATGCACTGATAGAGTGGGTGCATGCACTGATAGAGTGGGTGCATGCACTGATAGAGTGGGTGCATGCACTGATAGAGTGGGTGCATGCACTGATAGAGTGGGTGCATGCACTGATAGAGTGGGTGCATGCACTGATAGAGTGGGTGCATGCACTGATAGAGTGGGTGCATGCACTGATAGAGTGGGTGCATGCCTGTGAAGAGTGGGTGCATGCACTGATAGAGTGGGTGCATGCACTGATAGAGTGGGTGCATGCACTGATAGAGTGGGTGCATGCAGTGATAGAGTGGGTGCATGCAGTGTAGAGGGGGGGATGCAGGATGGGGTGCATGCAATGCATTGGAGGAGGTGGGGCATGCAGTGAGGGGGTTGGGTGGCTGAGTGGGGGGGTGGGTGCATGGGGTGGAGTGGGGGGGTGCACTGGGGGAGTGGGTGATGCCTTTGGGAGAGGGGGGTGCATGCAGTGAGAGTGGGGGTGAGCCTGATAGAGTGGGGGTATGCAGTGGTAGAGTGGGGTGCAGCAGTGGGGGGGTGGGGCATGGGTGTGGAGAGAGGGGTGCATGCACTGATAGAGTGGGGGCATGCAGTGATAGAGTGGGTGCATGCAGTGATAGAGTGGGTGCATGCACTGATAGAGTGGGTGCATGCACTGATAGAGTGGGTGCATGCAGTGATAGAGTGGGTGCATGCACTGATAGAGTGGGGGAGTGGTGTGGGTGGGTGGAGGGGGCATGCACTGGGATAGAGTGGGGTGCATGCAGTGATAGAGTGGGTGCATGCAGTGATAGAGTGGGTGCATGCACTGATAGAGTGGGTGCATGCACAGGTGGGATAGAATGGGGTGCAAGCAAGAAAAGTGATATGAGTGTGTGCAGTGGGGTGCCCCCCCCAGTGGGTGCAAAATACTGATATAGAGTGGGTTGGTGGGGTGCATAAAGTGGGTGCATGCACTGATAGAGTGGGTGCATGCACTGATAGAGTGGGTGCATGCACTGATAGAGTGGGTGCATGCACTGATAGAGTGGGTGCATGCATGATAGAGTGGGTGCATGCACTGATAGAGTGGGTGCATGCACTGATAGAGTGGGTGCATGCACTGATAGAGTGGGTGCTGCACTGATAGAGTGGGTGCATGCAGTGATAGAGTGGGTGCATGCACTGATAGAGTGGGTGCATGCACTGATAGTGGGTGCATGCAGTGATAGAGTGGGTGCATGCACTGATAGAGTGGGTGCATGCACTGATAGAGTGGGTGCATGCACTGATAGAGTGGGTGCATGGTGATAGAGTGGGTGCATGCACTGATAGAGTGGGGTGCATGCAGTGATAGAGTGGGTGCATGCACTGATAGAGTGGGTGCATGCAGTGATAGAGTGGGTGCATGCACTGATAGAGTGGGTGCATGCACTGATAGAGTGGGTGCATGCACTGATAGAGTGGGTGCATGCACTGATAGAGTGGGTGCATGCACTGATAGAGTGGGTGCATGCAGTGATAGAGTGGGTGCATGCAGTGATAGAGTGGGTGCATGCAGTGATAGAGTGGGTGCATGCAGTGATAGAGTGGTGCATGCACTAATAGAGTGGGTGCATGCACTGATAGAGTGGGTGCATGCACTATAGAGTGGGTGCATGCACTGATAGAGTGGGTGCATGCACTGATAGAGTGGGTGCATGCACTGATAGAGTGGGTGCGCACTGATAGAGTGGGTGCATGCACTGATAGAGTGGGTGCATGCACTGATAGAGTGGGTGCATGCACTGATAGAGTGGGTGCATGCACTGATAGAGTGGGTGCATGCAGTGATAGAGTGGGTGCATGCAGTGATAGAGTGGGTGCATGCACTGATAGAGTGGGTGCATGCAGTGATAGAGTGGGTGCATGCACTGATAGAGTGGGTGCATGCAGTGATAGAGTGGGTGCATGCACTGATAGAGTGGGTGCATGCACTGATAGAGTGGGTGCATGCACTGATAGAGTGGGTGCATGCACTGATAGAGTGGGTGCATGCACTGATAGAGTGGGTGCATGCACTGATAGAGTGGGTGCATGCACTGATAGAGTGGGTGCATGCACTGATAGAGTGGGTGCATGCACTGATAGAGTGGGTGCATGCAGTGATAGAGTGGGTGCATGCACTGATAGAGTGGGTGCATGCACTGATAGAGTGGGTGCATGCACTGATAGAGTGGGTGCATGCAGTGATAGAGTGGGTGCATGCAGTGATAGAGTGGGTGCATGCAGTGATAGAGTGGGTGCATGCACTGATAGAGTGGGTGCATGCACTGATAGAGTGGGTGCATGCACTGATAGAGTGGGTGCATGCACTGATAGAGTGGGTGCATGCAGTGATAGAGTGGGTGCATGCACTGATAGAGTGGGTGTGCATGCAGTGATAGAGTGGGTGCATGCGTGATAGAGTGGGTGCATGCACTGATAGAGAGTGGGTACATGCACTGATAGAGTGGGTGCATGCAGTGATAGAGTGGGTGCATGCACTGATAGAGTGGGTGCATGCACTGATAGAGTGGGTGCATGCACTGATAGAGTGGGTGCATGCACTGATAGAGTGGGTGCATGCAGTGATAGAGTGGGTGCATGCACTGATAGAGTGGGTGCATGCAGTGATAGAGTGGGTGCATGCAGTGATAGAGTGGGTGCATGCACTGATAGAGTGGGTGCATGCAGTGATAGAGTGGGTGCATGCACTGATAGAGTGGGTGCATGCAGTGATAGAGTGGGTGCATGCACTGATAGAGTGGGTGCATGCACTGATAGAGTGGGTGCATGCACTGATAGAGTGGGTACATGCACTGATAGAGTGGGTGCGTGCACTGATAGAGTGGGTGCATGCACTGATAGAGTGGGTGCATGCACTGATAGAGTGGGTGCATGCACTGATAGAGTTGGTGCATGCACTGATAGAGTGGGTGCATGCAGTGATAGAGTGGGTGCATGCACTGATAGAGTGGGTGCATGCACTGATAGAGTGGGTGCATGCACTGATAGAGTGGGTGCATGCAGTGATAGAGTGGGTGCATGCAGTGATAGAGTGGGTGCATGCAGTGATAGAGTGGGTGCATGCACTGATAGAGTGGGTGCATGCACTGATAGAGTGGGTGCATGCACTGATAGAGTGGGTGCATGCACTGATAGAGTGGGTGCATGCAGTGATAGAGTGGGTGCATGCAGTGATAGAGTGGGTGCATGCAGTGATAGAGTGGGTGCATGCAGTGATAGAGTGGGTGCATGCAGTGATAGAGTGGGTGCATGCAGTGATAGAGTGGGTGCATGCACTGATAGATGTGGGTGCATGCACTGATAGAGTGGGTGCATGCAGTGATAGAGGGGTGCATGCAGTGATAGAGTGGGTGCATGCACTGATAGAGTGGGTGCATGCACTGATAGAGTGGGTGCATGCACTGATAGTGTGGGTGCATGCACTGATAGAGTGGGTGCATGCACTGATAGAGTGGGTGCATGCAGTTATAGAGTGGGTGCATGCACTGATAGAGTGGGTGCATGCACTGATAGAGTGGGTGCATGCAGTGATAGAGTCGGTGCATGCATTGATAGAGTGGGTGCATGCAGTGATAGAGTGGGTGCATGCACTGATAGAGTGGGTGCATGCACTGATAGAGTGGGTGCATGCACTGATAGAGTGGGTGCATGCAGTGATAGAGTGGGTGCATGCAGTGATAGAGTGGGTGCATGCAGTGATAGAGTGGTTGCATGCACTGATAGAGTGGGTGCATGCACTGATAGAGTGGGTGCATGCACTGATAGAGTGGGTGCATGCATTGATAGAGTGGGTGCATGCAGTGATAGAGTGGGTGCATGCACTGATAGAGTGGGTGCATGCACTGATAGAGTGGGTGCATGCACTGATAGAGTGGTGCATGCACTGATAGAGTGGGTGCATGCACTGATAGAGTGGGTGCATGCAGTGATAGAGTGGGTGCATGCAGTGATAGAGTGGTGCATGCACTGATAGAGTGGGTGCATGCAGTGATAGAGTGGGTGCATGCACTGATAGAGTGGGTGCATGCACTGATAGAGTGGGTGCATGCACTGATAGAGTGGGTGCATGCAGTGATAGAGTGGGTGCATGCAGTGATAGAGTGGGTGCATGCAGTGATAGAGTGGGTGCATGCACTGATAGAGTGGGTGCATGCACTGATAGAGTGGGTGCATGCACTGATAGAGTGGGTGCATGCATGATAGAGTGGGTGCATGCAGTGATAGAGTGGGTGCATGCACTGATAGAGTGGGTGCATGCACTGATAGAGTGGGTGCATGCACTGATAGAGTGGGTGCATGCACTGATAGAGTGGGTGCATGCACTGATAGTGGGTGCATGCAGTGATAGAGTGGGTGCATGCAGTGATAGAGTGGGTGCATGCACTGATAGAGTGGGTGCATGCAGTGATAGAGTGGGTGCATGCACTGATAGAGTGGTGCATGCACTGATAGAGTGGGTGCATGCACTGATAGAGTGGGTGCATGCAGTGATAGAGTGGGTGCATGCAGTGATATAGAGTGGGTGCATGCACTAATAGATGGGTGCATGCAGTGATAGAGTGGGTGCATGCACTAATAGAGTGGGTGCATGCAGTGATAGAGTGGGTGCATGCAGTGATAGAGTGGGTGCATGCACTGATAGAGTGGGTGCATGCACTGATAGAGTGGGTGCATGCACTGATAGAGTGGGTGCATGCACTGATAGAGTGGGTGCATGCACTAATAGAGTGGGTGCATGCAGTGATAGAGTGGGTGCATGCAGTGATAGAGTGGGTGCATGCACTAATAGAGTGGGTGCATGCAAGGATAGAGTGGGTGCATGCACTGATAGAGTGGGTACATGCACTGATAGAGTGGGTGCATGCACTGATAGAGTGGGTGCATGCATTAATAGAGTGGGTGCATGCACTGATAGAGTGGGTGCATGCACTGATAGAGTGGGTGCATGCACTGATAGAGTGGGTGCATGCACTGATAGAGTGGGTACATGCACTGATAGAGTGGGTGCGTGCACTGATAGAGTGGGTGCATGCACTGATAGAGTGGGTACATGCACTGATAGAGTGGGTGCATGCACTGATAGAGTGGGTACATGCACTGATAGAGTGGGTGCATGCACTGATAGAGTGGGTGCATGCACTGATAGAGTGGGTGCATGCACTGATAGAGTGGGTGCATGCAGTGATAGAGTGGGTGCATGCACTGATAGAGTGGGTGCATGCACTGATAGAGTGAGTGCATGCACTGATAGAGTGGGTGCATGCACTGATAGAGTGGGTGCATGCAGTGATAGAGTGGGTGCATGCACTGATAGAGTGGGTGCATGCACTGATAGAGTGGGTGCATGCACTGATAGAGTGGGTGCATGCAGTGATAGAGTGGGTGCATGCACTGATAGAGAGCCAAGGGTACTTGACTGCTGGCTTGCAGGAACCCGCCCAGGGCTGGACCTGTGGGGACCAAGTGAGAGGAGAGGCGTGGGTGACGAGAAGAGCTCTATGAAACGGAAAGTAGGTATGGGTGTAGTTCAAATGTAAGCGATAACATGTGAGTGATACAATGTTTCTGTATGCCATGAGCCAGGGGTACGTGGCTGCTGGCTCACACAGAAACCCGCCCGGGGCCGGACTTGTGTGGACCAGGTGAGGGGTGCGTGTGTGGATGGGTGTGTGTGTGTCTGTCTGGGTGGGTGCGGATGTGTGTTTGTGTGAATGTGCGTGTGGGTGTGCGTGCGCGTGCGCGTGCGCGTGCGCGTGCGCATGCGTGTGCGTGTGCGTGTGCGTGTGTGTGTGTGTGTGTGTGTGTGTGTGTGTGCATTTAAGTGTGTGTTTCTGGTGGTATTGATGTGTGTGTGTGTGTGTGTGTGTGTGTGTATTGAAGTGTGTGTGTGTTTGTGTGTCACGTGTGTTTGAACAACGGAACACCTGTCTAGGAGCTCCCAACGTACCAATGAGCAGTCCGAGACCCAAGTTGGTTCCCAGCAGGGCGAACCTGAAGCAAGGGAGAGGTAAGGGTGGGAGCAAGGGGGAGCAATAAATGAACTGGGAAGGCTAACTTTGTTGAAAACACAGAAATTTTTAAGGCAACAAGAAGAGCAGAGCATGGGATGGACTCAGTTTGTGAAAGGGACACCTTTAGAGCAAATTCGTTAAAATAAATGGCCCAGTCAGAGGTATGGGGAGCAAGGTAGGGTAAAGGAGGAGGTTTTTTATCACAAAAGGTATTTCTCACCCTTGCGCCTGATTGGTGGAGTCACAAAGCTCTGCCACTGTGCTGCATGAGAGGACGGGAAGATGAATGAGAGAAGAAGAGAAGACCACAATACATGAAGCATCGCAACACCACCACACATAGCAAAGAGGCATGGCAGGAGAAAATGACTTCTGAAGCGCATCAAAAGATGCATGGCCAGGTGAAGATTGATTGCTGCATGCGAATCTAACGCAGGATGCTTCACTGTCACACGATTCTGATGCGTTGCAGTTTACAAAACTCACAAGGGTTGGGCCGTGAGAGACAGCGACAGGTGCAGGCAGGGAATCACGTTCTGGCAGGGGCAGCGACGAGGACAAGAAGATCCCCTGCAGCGGAGCAGCGGCTGCAGATCTTCGAGTTCTCCAAGAGGGTGACGTCAGCGGCGCTGGAGCTAAACGACAAGATAACGAACAGTGACTCGGAGCTGCGAGACTTCGGGAAGAAAATGTGAGCGAAGGGAAGGAAATGGAGGGCGGGGAGCGGTGGCGGGGAAGGGCGGCGGGGAAGGGCGGCGGGGAAAGGTGGCGGGGAAGGGTGGCGGGGAAGGGGGAAGGGGACAGGGACAGGTGTGTTGGAAGAGGGGAAGAAGAGGGGGCAGGGAGTGGGGGGTGGGGAGAGGGGAAATAATAAGTGGCAGCGCGGTGATGGAAAGTCAAAATCGAAACCCCAATGGTAAAACCCGCCACATAATGTGGAGACCTGGCTTGAGTGTGTATGAGTTCCAACTTTTACGAACTGGCAGATGATATTGTCTTGCGTGCGCCCTTATAAGGCATCTTGAGTACCAATGGTTCATGCTCCACCCACACCCACAGGTCCACCACTGTGTTTGTCGTGGGGTGCATCGCCTTTGCCTTTGTGGTTCTCACTGTCGGTACGCACCTCCTCCTTTTTCTCCTCTCTCCCCCTCCTCCCCCCCCACACCCCCCCTCCTTCCCTGTCGCTCTTTCCCGCTCTGGGGTTCCCACCCTCTCCCACTTCTCTCAGTCGCGCCCCCTCCCTTCCCCTCGACTTTTCCCTCTAGCTCATAGAAACGCTCGCGCACAAATGCACGCTTCCACACACGCACACACGCCCATTCGTGCCTCACATCCGTCGCTCCCCCCTCTTCTCCCCCTTCCCCTCTTCCCTCTCCCCTCTCCCCCCCATTTTGCCCATCCACCAGTGGCGGCCATACTCCAGTGGGCCACCTTCTCTCATGTGTAAGCTGCTGCGCTGCCTTGCCTCCTTACCTCCCTGCTTCGCTAACAGCTTACCACTTTATCTCTGTGGCTTACACGGCACCCCCCGTGTTCCCAGGCCACTTTCCAACTTTTGAGGCGCCTCAGAAGTTACCCCTTTCTAGTTCCCCATAGCTTACATGGCACCCCCCGTGTTCCCACATGCCACTTTCATGCCATCAAGCTGGCACTCATGCCACCTCACATGCCATCCCACATGCCATCCCACATGCCATCCCACATGCCATCCCACATGCCATCCCACATGCCATCCCACATGCCATCCCACATGCCATCCCACATGCCATCCCACATGCCATCCCACATGCCATCCCACATGCCATCCCACATGCCATCCCACATGCCATCCCACATGCCATCCCACATGCCATCCCACATGCCATCCCACATGCCATCCCACATGCCATCCCACATGCCATCTCACATGCCATCCCACATGCCAACCCACATGCCATCTCACACGCCATCCCACACGCCATCTCACATGCCATCCCACATGCCATCTCACATGCCATCTCACATAGCGTCACGCCATTCAACGAATTCACTCTGTGTCCTCTCCCCGCCACCCTCCCCTCCACCACACTCTCCCCTTCCCCCCTCTTCTCATGTGCTCTACAGCATGTGCACGCTTGTGTGGATCACAGCCTTCGTCACCTGGTGCATCGTGGCTGTCTTCCTCACCGTCGTCACGTGAGTGCCCAATCTGTCCTTTCTATCTCTTGATGAATCCGCTCAACACCCACAGCCTTCCGCTCCTTCTCTACCACCCTCATCCCCACTCTCCCCCCCCCTTCCCTTCTCCCCATCCACCCCCCTCCACTACCCTCCCCTTCTCCTCAGGGTCAGCAGTGAAGGGAGTAACGCTGTCTGTACCCATCCCTCAGCACCGCATTCAACCCCTTTGTAGCAGGCCTCAACCACTGCTTCGTCATCCCCCTCCCCTCTCTTCTCCTCAGGGTCAGCGCAGACACAGAATCAGCAGTGAAGGAGGTGACCCTGTACCCATCCCTCAACACCGCATTCAGCCGCTGGGTACCGTGCCTCAACGCCACCAAGCTCGGAGATGCGGCTAGGTTTGCCCGCTTTGCTGCCTATGACGTCATCACCTTTACCAACGCGAATCTTCAAACCACCTACCCCAAGGTAGGTAAAGCACTGTTCACGCCACGTGTCCCTAAGTAGAACACGGTTCATGCCACGTGTCCCTAAGGGTACATTCGGGGCTCTGGTCAGAACCTCTGGTCAAACCTCTGGTCAACCGAAATCATGCCTAATTCTCACCAATTGTGCTAATTGTAAGGTTGGCTACAGTGTTAACCAGAGGTTAGCCCAGAGCCCCGAATGTACCCCACGGTTCATGCCACGTGCATTTATTTTTTATGCCAACGTCTATGAAGTTAACTATGAACAATTTTTTTAGTTACAAGAGGAAGAAGCTAGATTAAGCCATCTAAAAAAAAACACTGTTCACCCTCACCCTCCCCCTCATCCCCCCTACGGCCTTTCCCGCTAATATGTTATTCCTCTTTTTATCCCTTCCCCCCACTTTTCCACTCTTCCCACCAGCTCTTTCCACCCGTCTGAACGCGACAGCGGGCATCTGCTCGCCCTTTGGCCTGGGCCCTGATTATCTGTACAACGACACTGCCTGTCTGCCCTCTTTTCCCCTTTCCACACCCCCAACTCACCCCCCCCCTTCTCCTCTTTTCCCCCTGTCCCCCATCTTCCCCCTCTCCCCCCCCCCTCTTCTCCTCCCCCCCCACCACCAGCTCTTCACCCGTCTGAACGCGACAGCGGGCATCTGCTCGCCCTTCGGCCCGGGCCCTGACTATCTGTACAACGACACTGCCTGCTCGCCCAACTCCATCACCTTCCGCCAGTTGAAAGACGTGAGCACAGGAATGGGATTTAAGTCACGAGTGGGCAGATGCAGGAGGTGGGTGGGCAAGATTAGCAGGAAATTGGGCAGAGTTGGGAGGAAAATGTGCGCAAGTACAAGTACGTGCTAATATATAAGGGAGTGAGCTGCTACATATAGGAGGTAAAATGGGCATCGCTAGGAAGCTTCTATGCAGACTCAAGCAGACAGGCCTGCCACCTGGACCGACCATGGACGGTGCCGTGCCACTAGTGGCTGTGCCTGCCCCCCTCTCCCCACTCCCTCACTTCCCTCTCCCCACTCCCTCACTTCCCTCTCCCCTCCACGTGACTCTCCTCTCCTACCCCCTCCCCCCCACCTCCCATTCCCCCACACGCCACAGCTGCTCCCGGAGGTCACCTGTCCGGACGCGGGTTGTCCCAAGGGATCGGAAGCCGCCATTGGACATGATGCCAGCAGCAGTGGCGAAGGATGCGCCATCCCCATTCACTCCCACCTTCTCCACACCTCCACACCTCTACCCCCCTTTTTTCCACAGCTGCTCCCGGAGGTCACCTGTCCGGACGCAGGCTGCCCCAGGGGCAAGGATGGGAAGCCGCCATTGGACATGCTACCAGCAGCAGTGGCGAGGGATGTGCGCATGGCATGGATCTCCGTGGACCGCCTGGATGGCTCCGTGCCGCTGGTCGCCGCCCTCTCCAACTGCTCGCACGTGTCCAGTGTTGCTAAGGTATGACAGGCTGTTGGTGAGGCCTGTGGGATGTGGGCAGTGGGTGGCAGCGCTGCTAGTGCCGCCCTCTCCAACTGCTCGCACGTCTCCAGTGTGTCCAAGATGAGCCGTGGGGGGGGGTGGGAGAGGGAGGGGGTGAGCAGTGGGTGGCAGTGCCACAGTAGTAGTGGGCGAGTGGTGCTGTACACAGGTGGCAGTGCTGCTTCGTTCCTGCCCTCTCCAACTGCTCGCACGTCTCCAGCGTCGCCAAGGTGAGGCGGGCTGTGCAGTGCATGGTTGATAGTGCTGTGTGGACGGCAGCAGTGGCGCTAGTGACTGCCCTGGCCCACAATGAGGGGCGCGCGTCAGTGCCCACAATGAGCTGTTGTGGAGCCATGGTGCTGGCTGTGGGAGGAATGGTCCTGGCATTTATATGGGTGGTGATGCTGACACAACTCATCTTCTTTCTCTACTCTTCCTCTCTCGTTCGCCCCCACCCACCAGTATGTAGGCGGGGCAGCAGCAGGGGTACAGAGCGCGTCAGTGCTGCTGTGGACGGGAGCCATGGTGCTGGCTGTGGGAGCAATGGTGGTGGCTGTGGCGGCTCCCCTCTACGTCTTCCGTGCCATGCGCTGCCTGCCCGATGGTGGCAAGGGCGACAACAGGTGAGGGGCTTGAGGGGCAGGGGGGTTGGGATGGTGCTGTCTGTGATGTTGTCTTCTGTGCCATGCGCTGCCTTGCCATGGCAAGGGTGCCGACAGGTGAGAGGCTTGGGGGGGTGAGGGCAACTGGTGTGAGGTGCTGAAAGGGGGAGAGGGGGATGGGGATGGTGCTCCCCTCTATGTCTTCCGTGCCATGCGTTGCCTGCCCGATGGTGGCAAGGGCGACAACAGCCAAGGGGATGTGCGTGCAAATAAGTGCGCTGCTGTTTTCTGTATCACTCCTGTTTCTTCTCCTTTTCTCGCCTCTCCGCTCATCTCAATAACACTCTTCCCTCCCTTCACTGCTCACCTCCCTCCCTCCCTCCCCCCCTCCTGCACCCTTGCAGTATGTACAAGCAACAAGACGACCCCACCCTTTCCTCTGTCATGGTGGGACCTCCAGTCCTAGCCTACGCCGCAGGCTCGGCAGCGACCCATCATGCCTTACAGCAGTCCTCCGCCCAATCCTACCCCCAAAGCTCCTCCCAACCCTACCCTCAAAGCTCATCCCAGCCTTACCCTCCCCCACCCCCACCGCACTCATTCGCGCAATACACAGCCCCACCCACCTCCGACCCTCTCGCTCCTCCCGACCAATCACACGCGCACAACCAAGCACCAGAATCCGAGGCTTTGGTTCGGGATGCCTCAATGCCTCAAGACGAATCGTTGCCGTACGACCCGTCCTTCCCACGCGATTCCTCCCTTGTCAACGATTCTTCCCAGTCGGCCCTCATAAAACCTCAAAGTGATGCGTCGGGGAGAATAACTGCATCTGCCCACCCGGGTAACACAGTGCAGGGAGGAGGGCGGAGTGCTGTAGCTGGTGGGAACAACGGTAGCCCGTATAATTTGCTGACTGGATTTGGTGCAAGTGGATATGGAAGTAGCTTTGGATATACTGAGTTTAGGTAGTGGTACGCTAACCGAATATGTAGACCAAGTAGGCGTATGGTATATGCTGAAGTGTTTACGGGTAATTAAGTGTTGCACCATTAGGTGCATTAAATGGTGTATGTAATGCAAATCAAACATTTGTGTACTTCGTCTGTGATCTGTATGATAACTGGTTTCCTAGCTGTCTTGCGGATTCCATTCAAATGCGTACAGGAACAGAACCACCTGAGCTGGGTGTTACCATCACCTGGTGGCACTCCCTTGCCTACCTGAAACGGAAATGCACAACCTTGTCACCAGACCAGACCAAACCAGCATGCGGTGCGTCATCGCTGCCTTTTGATTGGGTCACTTTTCCACGCTCCAATCGGCTCAATCAATGTCGCCGTGCACACTGAACCTGTGCATCAGCGACTCGGTTCGGTTTCTCGTTCTCCCGAACCAGCAGCAACACCAAGCCTAGGCTACAGTGCTTCAGGTTACTGGAAGCGTGGCGCGCCGCGGTTTTGGTCAGGTTCGGCGGGGAACATGCCAACCAAATGTTTCCGCCTTTCCCCAGCCTTCCCCAGCCTTCTCCAGCCTTCCCCAGCAATTTCCCGCATATACTTTTGCTTCCCTTGGAAGTGCCCTGCCCATTTTGTCGCAAGCGTTCGCCAGCTGCATACCGTCTGCATTCGGAAGCGAGCAGGCGACCGGTGCGGGCAGTGCGCGACTGAACACTAGAAAGCGGGCAGCCCCCTTCTGCACCACAACGTGGCGGAAGAAAAAACATCTGCGCCGTTTCGCTATCGCCTGGACTTACGCGCGTCACGGACAGCCTGTGCTTGCTAGCGTACACTTTCAGATTAACACTAACTTCATGCACACACACCACCACCATCAGCAGCGCCATCAGTCCTGGTCCACTCCACATAGCAGATTAGTATCACCAACAGAAACTCATCTCCATTTATCTTCGTACACAATCCTCGAAATATCCCAGATCACCGTCGACGTGTTTTCCTGAACTTTATCCTTTCAATAACATCTTCCATCATGTTGTTCTTCGTGCCCGATCCCATCTCGCTCGCCGTCAGCTCGGCGACGGGTCTCGCGGTTTTCGTCGGCCTCTTCACGTCCTACCTGAACCCCTGGGACGAGGACGACGACGCGCAACAGCACTGGCATTTCCCGCCGAAAGAATCCGCGGAGGCGCGTCGCGTCTGCTGGGCGCGCCACATCCGGCAGAGATTAAAGACACTCGTGCCGCTCGAGGAGCGCGTACAGGGTAAGGCGCCGTGCACTGCGGAGCAGCTGATTCGCGAGATTCGCTCCGCGCGTAAGGGGAACCGGGGGTGCGAGCCTCGGCTGGCGGCAACGGCGGCGGCGGCGGCGGAAGCGGGGGAGCGCGAGCTCGTGCGGCTGGCGCTGGTGCAGCTGCTGGTGGAATCAGGCCCGCCCCCCGCGCTCTTTGCTATTCCAGGGACGGAGGACGGCACGGAGGAAGCGGACGATTGGGGGGAGGCGGAAGAGGCAGAATACAACAGCGGCGTGCGCTCCGCGCTGCTGCGTAGAAACAGAGGTTACGCGCAGCGGGGGCCGGCGGAGGAATTTGTGGCGGTGGTGGCGGAGATGGAGGGCGCGGACCCCGTGTTTGCGCTGGGCCCGCGGTACGCCACGCGGCGGGTTGTGAGGGAAGCGCTGGCGTTGCTGTCGGAAGGCGCCGCAGTTGCGCCCAGCGACGGCTGATCCATCTCTGGCTGCCGCCCGTCGCCCGTCGTCGCACATCGCCCGTTCTCACACGTCACAAATTGCCCCTTCAAAAGTCGTTGGTCGCAGCAGAGAAGGCCTCTGCCTGTCGTCGCTCGAGGAGGTCGCACTGAGTCGAAGCAGAACTCTTGATCAACCGATGCGACCCCACCATGGCTGCCAGAGCTGATTACCCTCATCAGCCGGCCATCAGCTCACTGCTAACCAGCTGACAGACGGTTAGGCCATGAGGTGTTTGGGCCATCAGATGGCTAGACCGTCAGGCGGCCAGCCAGTCAGGGACTGCCACATGTCATGAAGCCCCCCAGACCGTTGATCCCCTTCGCCGGTAGCTTGAAATTCGGAGCTCCAGGACCGTTGATGCTTTCAGCTGGTGGACGCACGCCAGAGAACAACCGCTGACATGTTCGGCGGTTGGGTGGATTGCGGTGCAATGCAGCAGCAGAATATGGCTTGTTCACTTGAGAAGCAGTGCACCAATGCGGGTGTGAGGAGACGAGCATATCTGTCCGGGGACCGTGTCTGGAGGTGCTTCAAATGCCACTCGCCGTGCACTGTTCTTCCGTTCACCGAGTGGCTTGCGTGGAGGGAGGTGTGGAGGCTGTTGGTTCCACTCACATGCCAACATCTCCTGTCCCGCTGTCGCTGTAACGCATCAATGGCACGGCAATCATCTGCTTGCCGCGGTGTGATTGCCTTTCAAGCTGCCGGTTTCACCAGGAACTGACTATTAACCTAGTATTCCGTATTATACCATGTGTAGACTTCTTTGCAAGTGTTATTTCCGTCCGTATACGATTCCAGAGTAGGTAGGAATTGGAAGGGTGACCAGTTGTGGAAGACTTCGCATTGTGAAGTGGAAACAGGGGCTACGGTAGGTGAATTATGACTAATGAAAATGGGTAAGGGTAAGGTTCTACATTTGAAAGAAACTTACCGTAATCCCCCGTATATAAGACCCTAGGGTATTATGATTATCACCCCTAAAAAGGCTGGGGGGTATAATTAAATGGTATATTTTTTAGAAGACCCGGGTCTGTTCACATTGACATTTATAAGAATGCACGATGTTGTACATTTCAGTCTCGTAAGTTCAATCGAATCGAACTTTTACATCGTCCTGAATCAGAATCGCGCGAGGGCGTTTCCCTGACTGTGCACAGAGATTTGGCACGTCACTTTGCCCGCGTGCCAGCTCATCCTGACTGGACGCGCAACAAGTGAAGCCTTCGAAAGTCAAACACATTGAAAATGGGTGTTGACTCATTTGAAATTCGAAATTCGTTACCATTTTCAATTGCATTTTTCTGTAAAATCCGCACTTCTCTAGTATGTGGGGGGGTCTTATAATGTTAGGAGCCATTTGGGGGGTATAACTCAGATGTACTCGAATAGAGTACCCGGGTCCGTATTATAGACCCGGGGGTCTACAACTGGGGGGGGTCCTATATACGGGAGATTACGGTACTGTGAGATGTAGGTAGTGGAATAGGGATCCATAGGGTGATCTACAAACAGCAGCAAGTTAATCAATGTGGAGCAGGAAAGCAGAACGTGCTTGCTAGTCATGTCTAGCTGACCGAAAAGGTGGTGTCCGGGATACACGGTATCGTAAGAGCAGAGCCGATATCGTACAAGAAAGTGAGTGCTGCACAACAAAGAGCGCTGTACAAGACAAACAATGCTGCATGGCGGCAAGGCAATCATTGCTCCCCAGGCAGCATGGTGTCTCCCTCGGGTAGGTCGCAATAGCCATTGTCCTGGCATGGTGAGGCAGCACAGGCATAGGGAGAGGGATGTACGGTAGGTGAGAGCATGCATGCATCAATGCATGTAGACATACATGGATGGATGCATGCATACATGTGTGCACGGATCGCCACCACTTGATTGCAACGGTACAGCAGCATAATCAGCACGAGACTGCTGAGCAAGCTGGAATAGCCAAGATCGGGACAGCTCGACGCAGACTGATAGGGCAGACCGCAAAAGTTGGGAGACTGGCAGGCGGGCACAGCAGCACACGTGTATGGGGAGCAATGCAGCAGAGCAGGGAGGAGCGGGACTCACGAGGCCGATGAGGTGAGACACACACTTCTTCTCTGCCACTAGCTCGTCCTCCGTCTGCATGGGATAGTGCATGGGAGGGGGGTGGTGGGAGAGGGGCGAGGGGTGGTGGGATAGGGGTTGGTGGGATAGGGGTGGTGGGAGAGAGGTGGTGGGAGAGGGGTGGGTGGAAGAGGGGTGGTGGGCGAGGGGTGGAGTGGATCGGGCAAGGAATGAAGGCGAGTATGTACACACTTTTCTCCTCTCCCTTATGTTCCTTAGCGGACAGTGACTCTCTCACCACCACAACCACCCCCCCTCCCTGCACCCCTCTCACCTTCTCCATTCCTCTTCACCCCCTTCATCTCACCTTCTTGATGCAAACTCCCCCCATAGTCATCCACCAGGAGCCCTTGTGAGGCTACTCTCTCTCACCACCACCACCACCACCTCTCTCCCGTCAACCCCCTAACCTTCTCCATTCTCCCCCCCTTCCTCTCACCTTCTTGATGCGAGCACGAAGGTATTCATCCACTATAAGCCCAGATACCACCTCGTAGTCGCCATCGCCCTGCCAGCCACGCATGGGGAAGGTGGGGGGGAAGGTGGGGGGGAAGGTGGGGGGGAAGGTGGGGGGGAAGGTGGACGGGTGGTGGTCAGCAGGGGAAGAAGAAGAGGACATCGTTGCAACCTCTGAGGACAGCTTCTAGTTGGGGTCACTTCGAGAATTCTCTTGAGAATTCTATACTGGAGCCAATTTCAAGATTTCCCTTGAGTATCCTATATTGAAAAGACTCAGTAAAAAACCTCTTGAGAATCCGGCCATAGAGTCACGTTTGAGAAATTCTGAGAAGGAAGAAAGTGACGACAGAGTGCCTCCACTGCACTGCAACCCAGTTTTGAGACGTCTCAACACTGCAACCCCCGGGAAAAGACTTCCGGTCGCCGTCTCTGTTTCCTGCTTGATGCGAGAGGCATGACCCGTGGGAGGGACCGGGCATATGAGCAGCAATGGGGATGGTGGAGCACCATGCAGGCAACCACCTCAGTTTATCCCTCCCACCTTGGAGCGACGGTTGAGGCTCCACACAAGAAAGAGAGACCGCATTCGGCGCAACCATCCCACCTTGGAGCGGCAGGACAGGCTGGAAATAAGGTCATCATTAATGCCGTACTGATTGCCTTTGGTTATCCCACCTCAGGTGTGGCAGTCACCTCAGGTTATCCCATGCTGGCTGCTGTACACGCCCGATGAGAACCAGTCGCCCTCCCGCGTGGGAGTGGGCGTGGGCGTCGTGATGGTGAGCGGTCACTGGTAAGAGGGACACAAAACAGCATGGCATGGCATGGCAGAGGTGGCACGCACCTTGGAGCGGCAGGGCAGGCTGAAGATGAGGTCATCATCAATGCCGTAGGTATTCCCCTTGGTGTACACGCCCGTTGAGAACCAGTCGCCCTCTGCTGTGGGCGTCGTGAGCGCCCTGATGGCATCCACCAGCGACACGGCTGTTGATGCTGCTGACGACCGCCCCCACTTCTTGATCAAAGCGCCACCACGCTGCATGCCGAGAGACAGGGGAGGGAGGAAGGGGGAGAGGGAGGGTGAGTGCCCTGATGGCATCCTCAACTAGTGACAGAGCTGTTGATGCTGCTGATGACCGCCCCCACTTCTTGATGAGCGCGCCACCACACTGCGTGCACAGGGAGAAAGAAGGGGGGGAGGGGAATGGTGGGGGGGTCTGAAGCGCCCTGAACCGTCTGCACTTGCTTTGAGACGTCTCAAAGAACCGTCTGCACTTGCTTTGAGACGTCTCAAAGAACCGTCTGCACTTGCGGCGTGAACTGCTCCTCTAGCCACTGGCGGCCATGTGTCACCCGTATCTCTCCCCCCACCCCCCCCCCCCCCCCCCCCCCACCTCCCCCAAACCAGCACACGCATCATGTTTCAACCCTGTCACCCCCACGCACCGTCTGCACTTGCGGTGTGAACTCTTCCTCCAGCCACTTGCGGTCGCGAATGACGTCCGCTGCTGGGAAGCCCAGAATGCGCGCATTCACGAAGTCAGGCACCTGGAAGAGGAGGTGGGGAGGGGAGAGGAGCGGGGTGAAGGCGAGAAGGTGAGAAGCGGGGAGAGGAGTGTTGCAGGGACGCCGAGAATGCGCACATTTACAAAGTTAGGCACCTGGTGGGAGGGGGGGAGGGGAGAAAGAACGAGGGGGATGAAGGTGAGACGGGGCGAAGGGAGAGAGGAGTGTAAAGGGGATTCCAAGATGTGCGCATTCACAAAGGGGCGCATTCACAAAGTCAGGCGCCTGGTGGGAGGGGCGGGGGGGGGAGAGGAGGGGGGGAGGAGGGGGAAGAGGAGCAGAGGGGAGAGGTGTAACGAGAGAGCAGGCAATGAGGGTAGTCAAGTGTGAAGGAAGATGTACGCTCGAAACACAAGCAAAGTGAACGAAAGAGAGATACGAGGAGAGAAACAGTGAGAATAGGGGTGAGAGGAAGACGGGGAGGGAGAAGTAGAAGGGGTAAGAGAGGAAGAATGGGAGAGAAATGGAGAAGAGGAGAGAAATCGGGAACTGGAGAAAAAACGGATAAGGGGGGAGAAATTTAGAAGGGTAGAGAAGTGGAGGAGGAAGAGAGAGGGAAGGGGAGGGGGAGGAGGGAGAATAGGAAGGGAAAAAAAGAAAAAGAAAAGAAAATAAAAAAGATCAGAAGAGGAAGAGGGAGAAGGGGAGGGTACCATGGTGGTGGAGTGGTTGCCCCAGATGGTCATGTTGGATATCTTGTCGTAAAACACCCCCGCCTTGAGCGCTAGCTGTGGACCCACACACCCCCACCCCCACACGGAAACAGAGAGACGAACGGACATGGACGGACAAAGGGCAAGGAGCAGGGAGGACGATGGAAAGGAGTGTGATTCAGTGCTGGCAGACAGCAGGAGGGAAGACGGTTGAGTGGAGGCAAGGGTACATGGTTGGTGAGAGATCCATGAGAGGGGCAGAGGAGGAGACAACACATGCTCCAGGTCCACGTCCACTTGCCATGCTGCCCCACCCACCAGCCCCACCCACCAGCCCCACCCACCAGCCCCACCCACCAGCCCCACCCACCAGCCCCACCCACCAGCCCCACCCACCAGCCCCACCCACCAGCCCCACCCACCAGCCCCACCCACCAGCCCCACCCACCAGCCCCACCCACCAGCCCCACCCACCAGCCCCACCCACCAGCCCCACCCACCAGCCCCACCCACCAGCCCCACCCACCAGCCCCACCCACCAGCCCCACCCACCAGCCCCACCCACCAGCCCCACCCACCAGCCCCACCCACCAGCCCCACCCACCAGCCCCACCCACCAGCCCCACCCACCAGCCCCACCCACCAGCCCCACCCACCAGCCCCACCCACCAGCCCCACCCACCAGCCCCACCCACCAGCCCCACCCACCAGCCCCACCCACCAGCCCCACCCACCAGCCCCACCCACCAGCCCCACCCACCAGCCCCACCCACCAGCCCCACCCACCAGCCCCACCCACCAGCCCCACCCACCAGCCCCACCCACCAGCCCCACCCACCAGCCCCACCCACCAGCCCCACCCACCAGCCCCACCCACCAGCCCCACCCACCAGCCCCACCCACCAGCCCCACCCACCAGCCCCACCCACCAGCCCCCCACGCACCTGGCACTTGGCGCGGTTCTCATCCAGCTTCGTGAGCGCATGGAAGTTTCTGGGGTTGAGCTTGGGCGCGTTTTTTAGGCAGATGAGCGCACTGCCAGGAAGAGCGGGGTGGACAGGAGTGGAGTGGAGCGGAGCGAAGCGGAGGGGAGTGGAGTGGAGTGCAGTGGAGTGGAGTGGAGTCGAGTGGAGTGGAGTGGAGTGGAGTGCAGTGGAGTGGAGTGCAGTGGAGTGGAGTGGAGTGGAGTGGAGTGGAGTGGAGTGCAGTGGAGTGGAGTGGAGTGGAGTGCAGTGGAGTGGAGTGGAGTGGAGTGGAGTGGAGTGGAGTGGAGTGCAGTGGAGTGGAGTGGAGTCCAGGCAGCAAGGAGGGGAGGCAGGGCGAGAGAAAAGAACAGGGGATGCAGGCACCGCAGAGGCCAGCAACAAGTTTTAGGCAGGCACAGCCATTATCAAAAGTTTCGGACCAGAACGTTCAAGAGGGTGCAGTGAAATCAAGGCTTTGAATCAGACCATTCACATTTTTCTAGTTATCGGAGTTTTGGACGAGACCGTTGCTCCAACACCCTCCATTTTTTCAGGCCAATTCAGAACCAGGACGTGGCCCCTGAGAGGCGTGGAAGAGGCCTCACTTGGTGTTGCAGGGGTTGCCAACGACGATGACCTTCACATTGGGGTTGGCCACATCATTCAGCGCTCGGCCCTGCATGCATGAACGCACATGCAGGCATGCGGGCAGCAGGCAGTAAGCAAGCAGGCAAAGCAGGCAGTAAGCAAGCAGGCAAAGCAGGCAGTAAGCAAGCAGGCAAAGCAGGCATTAAGCAAGCAGGCAAAGCAGGCAGTAAGCAAGCAGGGAAGTAGAGCGAGGGTGCAACACTGCAACAGTAAAACTCTCACTCAACACAGCACTCTTAACACCCCACACTTCAACCCTTACAGTGACCCCACCCTTTCCACCCTCCTTCCAGCGACCCCACCCAATCCAACCTCCATACTTGTTGGAGCACCTCCTCCAACGACAACTTCCTGATGCACAAATACTTGTTGGAGCCAGTCTGCAACTGCATGGTGAAGATCGAGCTGCCGACGTCAGACAGGAGCACATGCATTCTCCATACAACAGTATAAAACAACTCCTTCTCTCAACCCACACATAAGCCATCCGAACCACTCAAGCCTCCCACCGAGCCCAATCCAAACCAAACCGAACTGCACCACACCTGCTCGGCGAAGATCTGGCTGCTGATGTCGATCAAGCAGGCCAGCCCACTACACACCTGAAAAGAAGCCACGTGATTGAAGACGTCTCAAAACACTAAACACCCGAAAAGAAGCATCTCCTTTTCCCTCAAACCCCCCAATCAGCACACCCTATTCGACCCAAATCCTGCTCCGCAAAGATCTGGCCGTTGAAATCGAGCAGGTCAGCGCGCTCCATGCCGGGCCCGCGCGGCTCGTTTTCTCCTCAAGCCTCCCCATCAGCACACCCAATCAGGCCCAAAACGCACCTGCTGCACCTCACAGGCTCACCTGCTCGGCGAAGATCTGGCCGTTGATGTCGAGCAGGTCGGCGCGCTCCATGCCGGGCCCGCGCGGCTTGGCCCCGATGAGCAGCGCCCAGTTCGCGTCAGCAAAGGCCGTGCGCGCCTCGATGCTGATGGTGACCTCGCGCAGCAGCGGGAAGAGTGAATCCTCTAGCTCCATTGCCACTCCTGGTGGGGGGGGTGGGGGTGGAGGAGAGGGGGAATGCAGGAAGGGTGGAAAGGGGCAATGAGGGCTAGGGGGCGTCACAGGGGTACAGCGCATGGGTGCTGCTGCCTACCTCCCGCAGCAGCGGCAACAGCGAGTCCTCTAGCTCCATCGCCATGCCTGGTGGTAGTGGGCGGAGGGTGGGGAAGAGAAGGGGGGAGGAAATGCGGCCACAGAGGGCGGCACAGGGGGGGAACAGGGCAAGTACTTGGGCTCCGTGGCCACGTCTGGTAGGTGAGGGCAGTGGTATGAGAGCGGGATGCGATTATGCAACGGAGGGAGTTGCGTTGCGAGGATGCGGTGAAGGGCCGATGATGATGCAAGGGATGGAGGTGAGATGATGCGAGAAAGGGGTGTGGTATGGTGCAAGGCAGGTGTGGTATGGTGCAAGGCAGGTTCAGAATACCGTTCAAGGTGTTGAGGTTCCCTTGTGAATGCACGCTCTTGACCCGTTTCTTTGCAGCACGCGGGTGCTCATTGGCAAAGCAGCGGCCTTTTCTATCTTGGAACGATCACACTCCTCCTCTCACACTCCTCTCCTCTCCCACTCCTCCTCTCACATTCCTCCCACACTCCTCTCACACTCCGCGTCCCACACTCCTCCTCGTCTCACCTTCCAGCGCCTCCTTGGACCGCTCAGAACCGAGCATGTTGATGGCCACGGGCTGGTTCGGACCGAACACCTCTCCTGATGCCAACTGATAGGAACGGGAGGGGATGGGACAGGAGAGAGAGGAGAAGCAGATTGTTAAGAAGTGGGTGAAAGGGTAAGCAGCAGGGGTGGACGGAGGTAAGAGGCGAATCAATGAAGGGTAGAAGGAGGTAAGACGCGAAGATGTAAGGGATAGAGGGAGGCTGAGGGAGAGAATGAGACGACTGAGAAGAGGTCGAGCCTTGGGCGCAGCATCAGAGGCACAGCAGCAACAGAAGCGATGGCGATTCTCAGCGGAGCGGACCCCAACAACGGGCAACGCATTGGCACGACAAGAAAGAAGTAAGCGCGAGCGCGTCTGTGTCGGTGACAGACGCGAGGGAGAGTGAGAGCGGAGGGCGCACCTTGAAGAGGAAGTGGTTGGAGATTTGAGACGTCTCAAAACGCGAGGGAGAGTGAGAGCGGAGGGCGCACCTTGAAGAGGAAGTGGTTGGAGATCATGCCCGCCGCGCCCGACACCGCCACGCGGATCGTCTTGTTCCAATTGCGCCGCTCGTGCTCCTCCTGCGATGGCGAGCAAGAGCAACGAGGGAGTAACGGCGGCGTGTAAGAGTAACGGCGGCGTGTAAGAGCGGGTCGGAGATGAGGAACGAGCGAGCGACGTCGAAATAGCAGGGAACGAAAACACGGGATCAAGGCGCGCCGCGAAGTTGCGAAGCTAGAACAATGCCGACGTTTCGTGTACATGTCACTGTAAGGAACCGACCTTTGAGGCGTCTGGAAAGTCGGCACGACGATGCTTTGTGAACTACTACAATGCTAAACCAATTCGCCAGCTCTCGCGGCGAGCTGGCGATCGGCAGTGCGCCATCGGTGGCGGAGGCGGCGGCGGCGGCGAGCTCACCTCCTTGAGGTCGTACGTGAGACGGAAGACGCCGAAGCCCTTGCTGCCGCTCCCCTCCTCCGCCACCTCCTTGGCCGCGCTGCGGCGAGAAATGGATGGGAGATGACACGCAAACGATGCCGACGTTATTCAGGTGACAAAACGATTAATTCAGTGTCGGCAAGAAGACTAGTCGCTCACCTGGGAGCTTGAGGCGCGGCGGAGCATCTAGCAATTCGTGAACGCCGCCGAGTCGCTTGCTTCAGCGGCGCGGCAGGCGTGAGGCTTGTCGCGAGCGCTGCGTTCAGGCCGACCCTGCGCGCTCCGGGGAGGCCAGCTGGTTGGCTGCTGCGCTGCTCGAGCGCGCCTTGCGCGACGGCGACGCACGCCTGGGCGTTTGCGACGATGGCAGACATTTTCACGGAATGGGGAGAGACACTGCGCGGTGAGCGGTGTCTTGCTACCAAGGTGGGCAACTGAGTGCTAAGGCAATGACTGGTGAGTGACAGTGGGGGAAATGGAGGTGAAATCACTCACTCACTAGGATCACTGGTTTTAGACGTGCTCGACAAGGTGAGGGGACTGGAATAGTCGGTCACACTTGGTCTGGTGACTAAACTGGTATTGTGGCATGTGTGGTGTGGTGTGATGTGGTTAGACACGATTCCATACGGTTTCAGGGTTTCGTACGTGGTGATGTACCGCAGACTGCGAATGTGAGGGAGGTGGAGAGGCGGTTTGGTGGTGCGGTTTGCATGATGGGGGGAACCAGATGGGAAATTGGGTGAATGAAAGAATGAATGGACAAGATTCAAATTGGCGGGAAGGTGAGGTTTGGGGAGACGCTGACTCAGCGAGTAAAATATGTTTTCCCCGCATGCGGGAAGAACTCGCCACAAATTTGCGTCGAAGTGCAAGATGTGTGGACCACGTGAAGCAGAACAATACAATCCGAGGGCTTTCCGACGTGGAACATGTGCGATCAAGAGCATCCTGAACCAATTGCATGCAGCCATCTGGAAAGAGTTGAACATGTGGTTGGGGCGGGTCAACAAGACTTCAGCACAAGAAGCCTATATAGAATTACCCGCAGACTGAGACTTCACAAATGTAGCCATTCCTATTGGGGTTCTACCGAACAAATATGTACTGGTGTCACTCAAACATTGAAACAATTAGAGTGCTCCATGTAAATATTTAAATGTTCGTACCACCCATGTTATAACATAACCGCTAGATGGTTATACAAACCAGAGAATAGGTGCACATATGTTGTTGTTGTTGTTTTTTTTTTTTTTTTTTTTTTTTTTTTTTTTTTTTTTTAAGTGAAAGCTTACACAACAGGTGTACAAGCAAAGCACTTCAGTCGTAACTGATTCTGCGGGCTCAAACCAGGTGGTTTACCCGGCCCTCCCTGCGATCCTACGGCGGTTTCACAAACGTCCTTGGGTTCGACCAGATCGACTGGAAGTCCCCGTGCCACTTCAAACCCACTACCATGCTGTCGTAGATTTTCCGCATGACACGTGCTTCGTCATTCGTCAAATTCCACCGTGCCTTATCCTTCCGAGCCTGCTTACCTGGCCTGCTACAGTACACCCGCGCGTGTTTGTTGAACTCCACGTTTATCCTCCTAAGCACCTTCCGAGCATGGATCTTCTTGATCTTCTTGAGCGAGACGTCACACCTTCCCAGCCAAATCTGGTGTACCGCTATCGCCACCATAGTCGCCTCCGGAAAACCAGACTTCGTCTCCTCTGTCCCGAACAACAGGTCCGCCAGCTCATCCACGTGTCTCCTCGGCTGCATCATGCACAGCGCCGACTTGACCGCAGCAACCACCGGCAGGATGTGGGGACATTCCAGCAAACAGTGCTCCAGCATCTCTGTCTCGCCACAGTGCGGACACGTCACTCCGCCACCCAAGAAATAGACCCTCTCCCCCACCTGGAGGTTGAGGTTCTGCACCCGTAGTAAAACATCTCTCGCCCTTGCCGGAACAGCGAGGGAGTCCCTTACCCTCCTCCCCCGTTCCCAATCAATGCTCCTTCCCGCCCGCGCTTCCCATTTCGCCCGCTTTTCCGCCACAACTTCCGCCCCTTTGCTCGGCTCCCTGAGTTTCCTCAACGGAGCCACCTCCCTTCCATCTGTTAGAATTTAACCTGTCTGAATAGGATCGTAGTCTTAGGATAGTAGCTTCCTGTAGCAGTGGAAGTCTTATATGAGTGACTTGTAACAGGATCAGTATCTCTGAAATCAAGTATATTAAGAAATGACAAACATATAGAGTACATACTAGGATAAAGTACCTATTCGCTTAATGTACCTATTAGCCTGAAACGGTACGTGACTATTCGCGATACCTACAGCTACTGCTGACGTCATCCTAGGGTGCGTAGCGCTTTGCTGACGTCAGCCTATCGGTACTTTTACTGTACTAACTACACTATACGAATTCCTTGAAGTGCACAAGTCTCGATATTATCTCAACACTCCCCTTCACTTCTAGGAGTTCGGTGTAGTCACCCTGTTGACTCGGAAATGCCACTGAGCTGGTTGCAGTGATGAAATTTCTGACGTGTCAGCTTCTTAGTAAGCGAATCAGCGGCCATGTCGCTGGTGGGGCAGTAGACAAGACGCATTCTCCCCTTGTCGATCGCGTCTTTTACGAAGAAGTAACGCAGCGAAATGTGCTTCGTGCGATTGACGAAACCAGGCTTGTTGGCGATGGTAATTGCACTCTGGTTGTCGCACTGCAACGTGAACCGATTCGGCGTGACGAATTTTGCTTCGTCAAGCAATTCCTGCAAATACAGACCTTCGCGAGTTGCAGCACAGGCGGCGATGAATTCTGCTTCAACCGATGAAAGTGACACGAGTTCCTGTTTCGAGGAATTCCAGGAGATCGGACCAATCGGCTCGAGACAAAAAATATAACCCGTGCGTGACCGTCGATCTGACGTGTCGCTAGCGTGGTCCGCGTCAACGTACCCGCTGAGGTACATTTTGTCGGTCGGCTTCCCAGCGTTGAAAATCAACCCGATTGTTGGTGTAGAGACAAAGTAGCGTAGTGCACGCTGTAAGTCGAGAAAGTGTTCTTCTTTCGGGCAGCGTAGAAACTGCGCAAGGTGACTTGCGACGTAGGCAAGATCAGGGCGACAGGTGACTGCTGCAAAAAGGAGACATCCCAGCTGCTGCTGATACAGTTGAAGACCAGCTGCTGACAGATTTTTCAGGTTGGGAACGTGCCCGGTGAGTGTAGACCGATAAGGTGTAGCAACGAAATCCGTGGAGATGTTGAAACGCTTAGCGAGTGACTCCGCATACTTCGAAGCCATGAGATGAATAGCGGAAGAAGTTCGCGAAACGTTTAACCCCAGAAATTGAGTTACTTTGGTGGAAATGGTTAAGTCAAGCGATTTCTTCAGATCGGCTTCGATACGATCACGCAGCGAAGTCGACGAACTGACGTCGAGGATGTCGTCCACGTAAGCCACTAACAACGCATAGCTCCCCTTGTCGTCTAGCCGGTACATCCCGGGATCGTGCGGCAGTTGTCGAAACCCAACCTCCGTCAGCTTTCTGTTCAAATGCTGCTGCCACAGTCGCGGTGCTTGTTTGATTCCGTACAGTGACTTTTTGAGCTTGCAGACACTCGGCGGATTTGTCGGATAGGTGTGCGGATATTCAACGTAGATTTCGGCATCGACGTCGGCGTACAGAAAAGCGTTGGAAACATCGATTTGTCGAAGTGGAAAATTCTTCGCAGCTGCTTCGCAGAGAATGAGTCGAACACTCGTATGTCGACTGACCGGGGCGAAGGTAAGCGTGTAGTCGATCCCATGAGTCTGATCAAAACCGCGAACCACCCACCGTGCTTTGTGTTTCTCGTAAGTACCATCCGCTTTCGTCTTCACCCTGAAGACCCACTTATTGGTAAGAACATTTTTGTTTACTGTTTTTTCAATGGGTATAAGATCCCAAGTTTCCCTTTTCTCCAGGGCAGCCAGTTCGCGATCCATCGCTTCACGCCATTTTTCGCGATGAGGCCCTGAGAGAGCTTGTCGGGCAGTTTTCGGCTCCAAATTCACTGTAGAACTGTGCTGTACCGCTGCTGCGAGTCCCAGAATTTGCAGTCCGGTCTGATAATGCGGATTATCGTCGGTGCGACCTGCGAAATTGACAGAATCATTCTGGTCTCCACTTGCCCCCCCAATTTCGTCAGGGTTGACACGGATGCTGCTATCGGAAACCACCGGCATTGGTTGGCGCTGTTCATCCACGAGGTAAGTATGATGAACATCGCGAACATCCTCAGGTGCCGCGTCAGCAAGAGGAATAAACTCCGGAATTCCGGAGGACGTGACAGGGACAGGTGGGTCGGGAAGAGCTTGACGTGCACCGTCGGGGTCAGGTTCTTCGCTGGCAGCAAGTTCGGCGTCGGCGCTAGCGAACGAACGAACACCGTGGAAAAGTGTGGCAGGGTTTTGCTGCGTGGCAAGATGCTGTTCGAAGACGGGCAGCGTCAAATTCTCGTAGAAAATACAGTCGCGAGCAGGAACAAGGAGACGACTGCGATAATCCATGATACGCCAGGCAAGATATTGTTTTTCAATGCCGAGATGCAGCCCCCACTTAGCACGTTGATCGAACTTCCCGAGCGGGGCGGTAGGAGGACGGTACTGAACAACACACCCGAAAACACGAAGTAATTTAGTGGTACCCAACTTGCCCGTCCACAGCAAGTAGGGTGAGGCGTTGTTGGGCAGGGCCGAGTGTCAGATATAGTAGGAGTACGGCCTAGGCTTAGTAGCCTAGGCCACAGTAGGACTACGAAAGGAGGCGCCAAGTACGAGCTAGGATTGTGTGCAGGAACAGAATTGAGAAGGAGTTGATTGAGCTAGCAAGCAGCAGGATACAAATAGCAAACCCTAAGGGGCTGTACTCACTATTGAGTACCCCACTGCAGGCTACACAAACAACGTATTCTGACACACCCCCATAGCCAAAGTGGGGTGTAATCAGCACAATGAGCAGTCATAGCAATAGTTCATAACTATCAGCAAAGCTAGAGGCTATCACAGAGGGCAAGTGAGGAGGAGGAGGGACTATGAAAGGAGAGAAGATGGGAGGCGACGACTGAAGCTGCAGACACACGGGCAACAGAAGCGGCTGACACAGTGGCGGCTGACACAGTGGCTACCGAGACAGAGCGCCCCGGAATACTGGAGTAACTGGCTCTGCGGCTACGACGAGCGGCAGAAGCAACGGACCCACGGGCGACTGGTGCAGCAGGCTCTCAGTGGCTACCGAGACAGTGCGTCCCGGAATACAGGAGTAACAGGCTCTGCGGCTGCGACGAGCGGCAGGAGTAACGGACCCACGGGCAACAGGTGCAGCAGGCTCTCTGAGCTAC